CAATTTAAGGTAAAAAATAGTTTTTAAATAAGAAAAAACAAAATTTGTACATATATATATTAGGCTGATGATATTATTGAAACATTAAATGAATGGATACCAAAGACAACAACAACAAATTTAGATTTGTTTTTATCAAAATTAAAAACTGAACATGAATATTCAACATTCGGTGAACAAATCTTATCATATGAATTAAAAAGTGAAAAATCTACATCATATGCAATTCATCGTGTTAATCAACATTTCTGTGATGATCAAAAATTTGTTGAATGGTATAATCGTCTTGAAACATTTCTTGTATTTTTTATTGATGCTGCATCAGCCATTGATAAAGATGATCCGAATTGGATTATTTATCTTCTTTATCAAAAATATCAAAATAATAATGGTCAAACATGTTATGCACCTATTGGATTTATTACAGTTTATCTTTATTATGCATATCCTGATAAAAAACGACCAAGAATTAGGTTAATAAATTATTTTGATTTTATTTCTCTTTAAAGAATTTCTTATGTTTTAGTCAAGTATTGATTCTACCACCATATCAAAGAAAAGGTCATGGACGTCGTCTTGTAACAGCAATTTATAATGATTTTCGAAAAGATACTCGTGTTCAAGATATTACAGGTATTTCATAATAATAAATTTTTTTTCTATATCTGTTTGTTTCAATACTATCGCTTTGAGTCATTTTTTTTCTGTTAGATATGTAAATACGTTATGAATGCTTTTATATTAAGTAGAGATTTCTTAAGTGTTTATCAACTTTATTGGTGAATGTTTGAATCGATAAATATTTATTAGTTTTAATATGAAAACAAATTGAATAATAATAATAATAATTTTTTCTTATTATTATTTAGCTGAAGATCCATCAGATGAATTTATTGCATTACGTGATCTTGTTTCACTTGAATTATGTCTTAAATATTTACCTGATTTATTTTCAAAAGAATCAATACTTAAAACTGATCGATTAACAAAGGAAATGATTGATAAAGCACGTGAGATATGTAAATTAACTAAAGTAAGATTTGATTTTTAGTTTGATTCATTACATAATTGAATTTTTTGTTTTATTTAGCAAGAAACTCGTCGTGTACATGAAATGTGTTTTCTTCAATCAATCAATCCTAATGATGAACAACAAATGAAACGTTTTCGTTTAATCGTTAAACAACGTCTATTTGAACCATTACAAGTAAATTGATTTAGGAAAAATTTATTATCTATGTATTTTATTTTGAAATAGTTTGATAAACGTCGTCGACTTCAATTAGCTGATCCAGCACTTGAAGCATTAGCAACAGATCCAGAAAAACGAAAAAAATATTTAGATACTCAATATCAATATGTTCTTGAACATTATGAAAGTATACTTCGAGCATATGACAAATATCAAGAAAAATTATATAAATAAATTCAAAATATATATATTATATAGAAACATTGTGCAAATACATTTATTTTTCTTGTCTCACTTTATGTAAATGAATGTTAAAATAAAATAAAAAAAGATTTGACAAAATTGTCAATCTCTAAAAATAATCATAAGTAATTTATTCTTAAAACTAGAAAGTATGAACTGATTTTTTCATTCTCTGAAAGAAAGCCAATTGAACAAAAGTTTCTAAATGAATAGCATTTTATTTCTTCTGATTTTTATCTAATCTATACCATGTATTGTATAAAAATAGATATGTTTCTAATTATCTTCTAGAATTTAATAAATTGATGATTAGACATGCGATAATTTAGAATTTCTAGGTAAAGCAGTAGGAAGTAATTTAGAGATAATTGAGTATAAAACTGCTGTGAAGCGCATGTTAGATTCTAAACAAAAATCTTGTGAGTGTGAGCATTATTCTTTAGACTTTATTGAGCAGCAACATGAATCAGCTGATGCATTATTTGCTAATATAAAATATGTATTAGAAGCAAATGAATTAAAACTTAATCAATTAGTTTCAATTGGATCTGATAACACCAACGTAAATGTCGGCAATCACCACAGTGTATTTGCTTTATTCGAAAAGCTCTCACCTGGTTTAATAAAAGGTAAAGCATATTCTAATATTAAAATTTGTATAATTTATTTGCTCTATAATTACTCTTTCGATCTAGGAACTTGTTATTCGCACGTTCTTCATAATTCTGTAAAACATGGAAACCAACATTTGTTATTTGACATTGAAACAACAATACTAAAAATATATTCTCATTTTTGCAGATCATCCGTTCGTGTTCAACAGTTAGCGAACTATTTTGATTTTATTGAACAAGAGCAAAAAGTAAAGAATCATATTCGTATTTTGGATATTGTATCAATATATACATATATATATATTCCATTTAGGTAATACTTAAACATATTAAAATAAGATGGTTGAGTCTTTTAAAATCTATTGAACGTCTCATTGCAATTCATCCAGTTGTTAAAAGTTATTTTTTGAATCTGGATATTGAAGAATGTCCACAGTTATTGTTAGAATTCTTTACATCGCATAAAGGTAATGATCGGCTTGAAAACATACACATATGTATATATTAATTTTTTTTATCTATATAGGTGACTGTACGTTGTACTTTTTGGCAAGCGTTTTACCAGACGTACAAAATGCAAATTTGGTATTACAACGTGAATATACAACTGGAGTTAATATACATGACATTATCACAAATTTACTTCGTAAATTAAAGAATCGTTTACAGGATGAGTTTTTTGGTTGTAAAGTTGCTCAATTACTCGAAGATTCTCCAATAAAACAAGTTGATGATTTAAAAAAATCATTTAAAGTATTTATTCGTTCAATTATTGATTATATTGAGAAATATTACAATGACTATAAATCATTTTATCAATCAATTTCTGTTTTCGCTGAAGTCGATATTGAAAAAATCGACTGGCGCAGCATTCAAAAATGTTCTACTTTTATTGTTAATCAATCAATTGATCAAGATAATTTATATGATGAATTTAACTATATTAAATCTAAGTATATCAATTTGAAAGGAAAGTTCGGTGGAATTAGTAATCAAGTGCAATCATTTATTTTATTAAATCAAGGTTCATCAAAATATAATGGAATATCAATTAATCATGAAACAAATCTATGCGATGATTATGATGCTATTCTAGATAATCTAGATAATACTGATATCGATGATGATGATGATGATGAAGCCGATGCGAAAATTTATAAACATAAAAAAACAAATAGTTTAACTAGAAGTGATCATGCGTGGGCATTTTTACTCGACGGTGAATGTGTACCCAATTTAAAAAAATTGGTTGAGTTTGTATTTGCTATCCCTGGATCGAATGCCTTTTGCGAGACAGTATTTAGCCACATGAACTACCTTTGGAATAACAGTAGAAACAGAATGAAACATGATTTAGTTGGAGCTGAGTTGAAAATTAAAATGAATACTCATTTTACTTGCACAGAGTTTTACGATTTTCTTTTAACTAAACCAGATATATTGAAACAGATTCGATCGTCAGATAAATACAGCCATGTTGCAAAAGTTCCACGTATTGCTTAGTAGAAAATTGATTATATATTTTTTTATATTATATGTTTTGATTTGTATTAACCAAGAAGTTAACTTTGATTTTCTTTTTTTTCATATTATAATTGCTATTCATGAAATAAATGTTAAAGTAAACATTATAGAACTACGATTCATTTTAGTTTTAATATAGTAATGAGAAATTTTTTCATCATTATTTCGATATGAGAAGTAAAGACATTTTCATATCTAGTAAAAAACACCTAATGGCTCTTGAACTTTTAAAAAAAGTCTCCTGATTTTCACTACTGATTTTAGATAAAAATTCTCCTGGAAAACTCCTGCTTTTTTTTTTGAAACTCCTGATTTCTAAAATTTTGATTTGGCAACCCTGAAACCGACCTCAGATCTGAATTTCACACTCTTGATAAACTTTCGCTCAACTCTTATAAAAAAACTTTTTTGTGAAAAAATGGTCCTTTGTGTAAAAAAGTGAACCTCAAAAAAATTTAAGAAAAATGACACCAGATTCGAGTTTTTTGACCCCAATTACCCCTCTGTCAATCCTTATAGAAAAAATTACTTTTATATCTTTACTTAAGTTTTGGTCCATCTTAAGTGTGTGGGTGTGTGACTATGGATAAGACTCTTCCCTTCATCCTCTCACTCTCACCACGTCCTCATCCACACTTTCACCCTCAGCCTCACACCCACCCTCAATACATAAATTACCTTAATAAATATATTACGTATCACTCTGAAACATTTATTCAAGAAGATACAAGTAGTCTTTACCGTATTAAATTATATATTGAACAAAATTCAGTTATTCCTACGCATGATATGAAAAAAGTTCGTCTTTATATGCATATTAATTTGTTCGATGGGGTAAAATGATTATTAATCAACAAACTATAACATTATTTACTCGCGATAGACAATAATGGTTATTAAAATTAGATTATTTAGATAAAAGACTGACGATTCAATTGATTGAACAATATGAATCAGTAAAAAAAGAAAATCGATGTGGAAATTTTGTCAATAAGTTAATGAACGAAAAATTTGCTCAAAAGATTGCATGGAACTTTATGATAATGCTTCAGCTAAACTTAAGGTTTTGATTTGAAACGAATAAAACGTGAGAATGGAAGTAATGCAAAACATATCCGCTCAGATTCTGAAGATGTAACTCATTATGAATGATAGAAGTCGTAACACAGTTCGGGTTGATTTTAATAATAAAAATTTGATTAAGTGGATTGATAGATAGTCAACATAGTAGAATTAAATTT